TGGAATGTGCTCAATGTACATAGAATGAACAGGATATGATAATTTTAATGATGGGTATCCTTATTTCTAATTAATAATACTGTTGTGAGGAACATGGGCTACAATTTTCATCGAAAATTATTGTCAATTGTCCCAAATTGTCGATATATACATTCAATATATAGGTCAAAAGGTTATGGAACCTAAAAATCACTCAAAAACTTAATTGAATGTCATATTAGTATTCCCCGTGATTTCCCCTTTACAAATCTACCTTATTTTTAAAAAATCGGAACATTAATTACAGAATTATAGGACTTTGGAATTTGGCGGCCAGGCCCTTCTTCGCGAAAAAAGTGAAAGAGAAAATGCATCTCAAAAAGCCTCTGTCCGATTGAGCTAAAATTTGGGAATTTGGCTTTTCTGACTGGGAATGAGAGAGAGAGAGGGGCGCACACGCACACGCGCACACGCACGCACACGGTCTTTGTACATAACAATGCCAATAAATGAATCCTCAGGCATTGTTACAATTATCATCACAGAAATAACCCCCTCCCCCAAAAAAACACATCAACAACATATTACCTCCATCGCATAGCCAACTCTTGGTTGGACGTTGATGTAGCCACCATACTCGACGACCTTCTCCACCTGCGACTCCTCCAGGCAGGGAACCACGTCCAGCTCCCGCACCTTCCCCTGCCCCGTCCAAGCCATTCCGTGGTCGCTGACTAACACCACGTTGACCTGGAATATGATAATCATGATGATAGAATGGTAATAATAATAACAATTATTATTATTACTTGCTATTGAAAACAATACTGATTAGAAAACAAGGGCAATAACGATAACAATAAAATGAACAAATTAAAGAAAACGTAAAAAGTATTAGAGGGCCAAAGTGCATAAATCATATGCATAAGTGCATAAAAGTATTAGGCGGCCAAAGTGCAGAAACTAGCTAAGAATATCCACATGCTAACGCTGTCTATCATGTCCCGATCCGAGAGGTCCTTCCAGAGTAGCTGCAGAGCGGCGTCGGTGTCCCTGACCGCCGCTGCCACCTCCGACGACGCGGGACCGAAGTAGTGGCCCTGGGTGTCTATTATGCCGTCGTAGACCTGTGGAGAAGTTTACATTACAACAGAATTTTCTTTACGACGACGAAATTTTTTTTCTTCAGTCAGAGAGGCCACGAGATACGAGGGACTGACCAACCTCGGAAGCTGCTGAGGTTAGAGGTGGGAAGCGTGTAGCGATCCAGTCGACCGAGGAATCCCACTAGGCTAAGCTACACGTGCAATAAAAAACAAAAATTCAATAATAATAATAATAATAATAATAATAATAATAAAATAATAATAAAATAAAAGGGACTTTACTAAGATTAATATTTCTCTTGAAGGAACCGCAGCTCGCTGACGGTAGTGGGAGCGGGAAACGAGGAAGGTACCAACGACAGAGAAACAAACAAAAAGAAACTTCATTGATTGTATATTGGAACTATGCCCGTGCTGCACAGTGCGGGCCGCAGTTGAGAAATGTAAAAATGTTAAAATGAGTGGTCATGTGTTTGTGTATTTGTCTGTGTTGGCACAGCTGCATATCTTGGAAATATTCTTCCCGACAAGTAATCTACCACGATCTGTTATATTCCCTCTGGACTCACCATCCATAAATATCTTCGTATTATTTTACTTATCTTTTTTTCGTATATCGTGGCTGTAGAGATAAAATCTGGACGGAGAATCCCGGGAGAAACAAACACAAAAAGGCTGAGCAGGACCGTTATTTCTCTGTCAGCGCTGGAGCCTCGCTGACACTCCGCGCTGACCCTCGTCAAGGCGCCGCTCTCGTTGGTCACTCGAGTGGTTTGCAGGTAGTTCACGAGCCAAAGGGGGTCGTTAGGCGGCCCACTGGTACTTCACGGGTGTGAATGCTTTGGGGCATAATTAATATAGATTTGATTTCCGATTCACTACAAGCGCTACCATCCGGCCTTGTTGAGTATCATTTACACGGTATATATATATATATATATATATTATATATATATATATATAATATATATATATATATATATATATAAATAATATATATACACACACACACACAAAGTATTAGTATCAAAGGTAAAAAATAGATAATTTCATCATATAGAACTATGTCATACATCATTTGTTATCCATAATGTAAAAGTAGGAAAAAATTGCGACATTTCTATACACTACTTTTTAAAGCGTAGTGCACGCATTTTTAGTCCGCAATAAATGTAATATGGCATCGCATTCTGCTATTACCCCCCCCCCTTAGAAAAAGATTAGAGCAGCAGGTGTTATGAAAAATCCAACCCAAACAATAAACAGTTCAGACGCAACATCAACGGCTTGCTGACAAACAATAAATCAGACGTGATGTCAACACTTCTCGTTATTTTCCACAGTTAGTATTCCTCCTCACGCCCGCATGCAAGGACACTACCCAATGTCAGCCTTGGGGATCTTTTAGAAAATAAATATATAAGGGAAAGCCCAACAACGGCAGCCGCTATTTCTGACCAGCAGTTCTCCGATAAGTGCAAGACGGTAATATGAGATTTTTAATTGCTGTTTCGTATTATTAATTGATTGATTATTATTATAATTCCTTTTTACTTTATTTTTACGGTCTTGTTTTCCTTCCCCTCATTGCCTTTCTCGTGATATTTTAATTGTCCATCTTCATTATTTGTTTAGTCGTATTTTTGTCGTTCCAATGAGTATTGGCGTTACAATGCAACTCTTTGTACTGACTTGGGATTGTCTGTCCGTTCTACCTGACCCGTAAGCTGCTTTGGAATCGTTAAGAGTAAATACAGATGCAGCAGGTGAAGAAATTAAAAGTCAACAAAAAATATTGAAGAGGTACATCATTATTATAATTCCAGGGCCTATGAAATGGTTTGGGACAGAAGATACTTAAGACAATAATTGTATTATCAATAATGATAATGATTAATGATCATTGATAATATTTTAAGCAGAAAGTCAATTACGACATTTGCAAGATCATGCCATCAATAATAACGTTTCCAATACGATTTTGCAGCTGTCCGCCATGAAGCTTGTGTTGGTAATGGCGGTGGCTGGATTCCTCTGCCTCTGGGATCAAGTCGGGTCACCATTCATCCTTCCCGGTGCCGAAGCATATGGTGGATATTATGGCCATCCTTACCCTGTTCCGTATCCCTACTCTGCTCCCTATCCTTACCCTGCTAACAATCCATTAATTGATTTAAGTGGTGGAATAGCTGGTTTACATATTGGTCGATAAGGTGATGACAAGGAAGGTAGATTAGTTGATTTGAAGGTTGGTGGATAAGCTGGTTTAAAGGTTGGTAAAAAGCGGAATTAGAATTCCACTTGAGATCAGACAGCAAGGAATTCTCTGGAATGAAGGATCCTAAATGGGGCGGCAGTCGGCCAGTTGGCAAAGGCACCTTGGTTGGAAGCTGCAATACGCTTCTACTGTGGAAGCCACAACTCCCCTGTGCTTGTGTGTCAATGTGGATTTTAACTTGGTATACAGGTATTTTCAACTATCAGATTTCACCTTAAATGTTTAGCCTATCAATCAATCAATCTATCTATATGTATGTGTGCGAATATATATATATATATATATATATATATATATATATATATATATATATATATGTGTGTGTGTGTGTGTGTGTGTGTGTGTGTGTGTGTGTGTGTGTGTGTAGTCACACACACGGAACAGAAATTTGCCTGAAATGTTTCGTCAGTCAGCGCTGCCGCCTCCCACACGCGAGCGACAACAGCCCGAACACCAGATATCCACTCCTGCTGCGTGTGGATGGCGCGTGTTCAGGGGAAACAGCTGAAGCATTTATTGTGACAACGTTTTCAGTCTTTGTGATGAAATATATTTCATGTGATGGATACCTGCTATTACTAATATCTATTATAATATTATTGATGGAAATCACAATAACTAAAATGATGATTATACTATAACAATAATGACAAAGGAGAAATGATGTTTCATAATAATTCCTAATTACTACTAATAATTAAAACGATGTTTGCAATAACTGATGATATCAGAGATGACAGTTGTAATAGTAAAGATATTTGTATTACTAAAGTGGTAATAACAGTTTCATAATTTTGTAAATTACGATGACAACACTACAACTTATGATGATAGAAATAATGACAATAAATGAATCCACAGGCATTGTTACAATTATTATTACACAGAAATACCCCCCCCCCCCAAAAAAAAAAAAAAAAAAAAAAAACTTACCTCCATCGCATGGCCAGCTCTTGGTTGGACGTTGATGTAGCCACCATACTCGACGACCTTCTCCACCTGCGACTCCTCCAGGCAGGGAACCACGTCCAGCTCCCGCACCTTCCCCTGCCCCGTCCAAGCCATTCCGTGGTCGCTGACTAACACCACGTTGACCTGGAATGCCTTTGGTGTCTGGGCTGTGTAGGGCTGCTGCCCGAGTGCGGGCTCAGTCTCCAGTACTTGCAGGGAACGAAAATGTAACATTGTATGATGATGGTGATGATTATGTGATGATGACGGTGATGAGGATGAGGATGACGAAGGTGATTATTATAATGATCATGATGATGGTGATAATAATAATGACAATACAATGGTAATAATAACAACAATAATAATAATTTATTATTTACTATTGATAATAATAATACTAATAGAATAACAACAACAATGATAATAAAACAAGGGCAATAACGATAACAATAAAATGAACAAATTAAGAAGAGTGAAAAAGTATTAGGCGGCCAAATTGCAGAAACTAGCTAAGAATATCCAATGCTAACGCTGTCTATCACGTCCCGACCCGAGAGGTCCTTCCAGAGTTGCTGCAGAGCGGCGTCGGCTTCCCTGACCGCCGCTGCCACCTCCGACGACGCGGGACCGAAGTAGTGGCCCTGGGTGTCTATTATGCCGTGCCACATGACGACAGGATATTTTCTCTTTTATTCGACGACGAAATTCCGTTTTCGTCTTCAGTCATCGTCGCAGGAGAGGCCACGAGATACGAGGGACTGACCAACCTCGGAAGCTGCTGAGGTTAGAGGTGGGAAGCGTGTAGCGATCCAGTCGACCGAGGAATCCCACTAGGCTAAGCTACACGTGCAATAAAAAACAAAAACATAATAATAATAATAATAAATAATAATAATAATAATAAAATAAAAGGGACTTTACTAAGATTAATATTTCTCTTGAAGGAACCGCAGCTCGCTGACGGTAGTGGTAGCGGGAAACGAGGAGGGTACCAACGAGAGAGAAACAAACAAACAAAAAGAAACTTCATTGATTGTATATTGGAACTATGCCCGTGCTGCACAGTGCGGGCCGCAGTTGAGAAATGTAAAAATGTTAAAATGAGTGGTCATGTGTTTGTGTATTTGTCTGTGTTGGCAGAGCTGCATATCTTGGAAATATTCTTCCCGACAAATAATTACCACGATCTGTTATATTCCCTCTGGACTCACCATCCATAAATATCTTCGTATTATTTTCCTTTTTATCTTTTTTTCGTATATCGTGGCTGTAGAGATAAAATCTGGACGGAGAATCCCGGGAGAAACAAACACAAAAAGGCTGAGCAGGACCGTTATTTCTCTGTCAGCGCTGGAGCCTCGCTGACACTCCGCGCTGACCCTCGTCAAGGCGCCGCTCTCGTTGGTCACTCGAGTGGTTTGCAGGTAGTTCACGAGCCAAAGGGGGTCGTTAGGCGGCCCACTGGTACTTCACGGGTGTGAATGCTTTGGGCCATAATTAATATAGATTTGATTTCCGATTCACTACAAGCGCTACCATCCGGCCTTGTTGAGTATCATTTACACGGTATATATATATATATATATATATATATATATATATATATATATATATATATATATATATATACATATATATATAAATACATATATCCACACACACACACACACAAAGTATTAGTATCAAAGGTAAAAAATAGATAATTTCATCATATAGAACTATGTCATACATCATTTGTTATCCATAATGTAAAAGTAGGAAAAAATTGCGACATTTCTGTACACTACTTTTTAAAGCGTAGTGCACGCATTTTTAGTCCGCAATAAATGTAATATGGCATCGCATTCTGCTATTACCCCCCCTTAGAAAAAGATTAGAGCAGCAGGTGTTATGAAAAATCCAACCCAAACAATAAACAGTTCAGACGCAACATCAACGGCTTGCTGACAAACAATAAATCAGACGTGATGTCAACACTTCTCGTTATTTTCCACAGTTAGTATTCCTCCTCACGCCCACATGCAAGGACACTACCCAATGTCAGCCTTGGGGATCTTTTAGAAAATAGATATATAAGGGAAAGCCCAACAACGGCAGCCGCTATTTCTGACCAGCAGTTCTCCGATAAGTGCAAGACGGTAATATGAGATTTTTAATTGCTGTTTCGTATTATTAATTGATTGATTATTATTATAATTCCTTTTTACTTTATTTTTACGGTCTTGTTTTCCTTCCCCTCATTGCCTTTCTCGTGATATTTTAATTGTCCATCTTCATTATTTGTTTAGTCGTATTTTTGTCGTTCCAATGAGTATTGGCGTTACAATGCAACTCTTTGTACTGACTTGGGATTGTCTGTCCGTTCTACCTGACCCGTAAGCTGATTTGGAATCGTTAAGAGTAAATACAGATGCAGCAGGTGAAGAAATTAAAAGTCAACAAAAAATATTGAAGAGGTACATCACTATTATAATTTCAGGGCCTATGAAATGGTTTGGGACAGAAGATACTTAAGACAATAATTGTATTATCAATAATGATAATGATTAATGATCATTGATAATATTTTAAGCAGAAAGTCAATTACGACATTTGCAAGATCATGCCATCAATAATAGCGTTTCCAATACGATTTTGCAGCTGTCCGCCATGAAGATTGTGTTGGTAATGGCGGTGGCTGGATTCCTCTGCCTCTGGGATCAAGTCGGGTCACCATTCATCCTTCCCGGTGCCGAAGCATATGGTGGATATTATGGCCATCCTTACCCTGTTCCGTATCCCTACTCTGCTCCCTATCCTTTATCCTTAAGTCTTGGTGGTGGAATAGCTGGTTTACATCCGTCGATAAGGTGATGACAAGGAAGGTAGATTAGTTGATTTGAAGGTTGGTGGATTAGGTGGTTTAAAGGTTGGTAAAAAGCGGAATTAGAATTCCACTTGAGATCAGACAGCAAGGAATTCTCTGGAATGAAGGACCCTAAATGGGGCGGCAGTCGGCCAGTTGGCAAAGGCACCTTGGTTGGGAGCTGCAATACGCTTCTACTGTGGAAGCCACAACTCCCCTGTGCTTGTGTGTCAATGTGGATTTTAACTTGGTATAGAGATATTTTTAACTATCAGATTTCACCTTAAATGTTTAGCCTATCAATCAATCAATCTATCTATGTGTATGTGTGTGCGAATATATATATATATATATATATATATATATATATATATATATATATATATTTGTGTGTGTGTGTGTGTGTGTGTGTGTGTGTGTGTGTGTGTGTGTGTGTGTGTGTAGTCACACACACAAAACAGAAATTTGCCTGAAATGTTTCGTCAGTCAGCGCTGCCGCCTCCCACACGCGAGCGACAACAGCCCGAACACCAGATATCCACTCCAGCTGCGTGTGGATGGCGCGTGTTCAAGGGAAACAGCTGAAGCATTTATTGTGACAACGTTTTCAGTCTTTGTGATGAAATATATTTCATGTGATGGATACCTGCTATTACTAATATCTATTATAATATTATTGATGGAAATCACAATAACTAAAATGATGATTATACTATAACAATAATGACAAAGGAGAAATGTTTCATAATAATTCCTAATTACTGCTAATAATTAAAACGATGTTTGCAATAACTGATGATATCAGAGATGACAGTTGTAATAGTAAAGATATTTGTATTACTAAAGTGGTAATAACAGTTTCATAATTTTGTAAATTACGATGACAACACTACAACTTATGATGATAGAAATAATGACAATAAATGAATCCACAGGCATTGTTACAATTATTATTACACAGAAATACCCCCCCCCAAAAAAAAAAAAAAAAAAAAAAAAACTTACCGCCATCGCATGGCCAGCTCTTGGTTGGACGTTGATGTAGCCACCATACTCGACGACCTTCTCCACCTGCGACTCCTCCAGGCAGGGAACCACGTCCAGCTCCCGCACCTTCCCCTGCCCCGTCCAAGCCATTCCGTGGTCGCTGACTAACACCACGTTGACCTGGAACGATTTTTGGAATTGAGTTAATGCATTTTCAAGGACTTCCTAGGCCTCCGTTCTCCCCTGAAAATTTCAAGACCCGACTCGCACCTTCCCCTGCCCCGTCCAAGCCATCCCGTGGTCGCTGACTAACACCACGTTGACCTGGAATGCCTTTGGTGTCTGGGCTGTGTAGGGCTGCTGCCCGAGTGCGGGCTCAGTCTCCAGTACTTGCAGGGAACGAAAGGCGGGGCTTGGGGATGTAACATTGTATGATGATGATGGTGATGATGATGATTATGTGATGATGAAGATGAGCATTATGATGAGGATGAGGCTAAAGTGAAGATGATGATGAGGAGTAACATGATGAGGATGAGGATTATAATGATGACGATGCCAAGGATGATTATTATAATGAAGATCATGATGATAATGCAAACCATGATAATATAATGGTTTTATTATCATTATTATTAATTTTATATAGATAACAATACTGAACAGAATAACAACATCAATGATAATAAAACAATGGCAATAATGATAACAGTAAACTGAACAAAAAAACGTGAAAAAGTATCAGGGGGCCAAAGTGCATAAATCAAATGGCTAAGAATATCCACATGCTAACGTTGTCTATCGTATAGATATGTATATGTATATGTATATTATATATATATATATATAATATTATATAACATATATACCACATTATGCATCACATACCCACACTATATATATGCTCATACGCAGAATGCACATACACACACACACATATATATGTATGACATTGTGTCACACACAATATACATGTGCATCACACATATTATTACATATATATACATTGTGTACACACACATATATATGTACATACATGCACAACTACATGTGCATACACATATTACATGTACACATGTGCACAAGCAGTTATATACATGTGCAACACCATATATACATGTGCACAACATATATACATGTGCACCATGTGTATATATATTACATGTGCACAGACATATATACATGTGCACAGACAGGTACATGTGGCACAGAACATATATACAGCACAGACATAATATACATGTGCACATGTGCACATACATATACATGTTGCACACACAATATATACATGTGCACACAATGCACACATAATATACATGTGCACACACATATATACATTCATATATGTGCACACACATATATACATGTTGCACACACATAATAACATGTGCACACACATATATACATGTGCACCACACATTAATATCATGTGCACACACATATATACATGTGCACACACATAATACATGTGCACACACATATATATACATGTGCACACACATATATACATGTGCACACACATTATATACATGTGCACACACATATATACATGTGCACACATACATATATGTGTGCACACACATATATACATGTGCACACACACATATATACATGTGCACACACATATATACATGTGCACACACATATATACATGTGCACACACATATATACATGTGCACACACAATATATATATGTACATGTGCACACACACATATATATGTGCACACACACATGTGCACACAACATATATACATGTACATGCACACACACACACACACACACACACACAACACACACATATATATATATATATATATATATATATATAATAATATATACATATATATATG